ACGTCATAAATTTTTCTATATCAAACACAGCACATCTTTAATATTGCGAAATATTGTTTATTCAGCATTTCATTTCTTTTTCTTTTTTTACGATCCATTGCACGAAATCAAATCTCGCATCATCTAACGTTGGGGATCGTTAATGGACTTTTGTAAAAACAAAGGTTCACATGTGAGTAAATTCTTAAGAAAAACGTTATCGGATCATAATATAAGTAAAAACAATAGTTACATAGTCCTATGGTGTTAATAATAATTCATATACTGAAATAATGATATTTGCGATATCTTATTCTTTTCTTCAAAAAAAAAAAAAAATATATATATTGAAAACTAAAAAAAGATTTTTCAAAGAGAATTGTAATTAGTAGCCCACCCTCTTTCATTTAACAAAATCTGTATGAACAAAAGTTTTATTTAATTACAAAATCTTTTTCTTTTTTAACATATGTGAATAACTAAAAATACAAATTTTACAACTTGGCGAGTTGCTTTTCACGTTAAAGGATTCCGTCACGCCTTTAACAGTGGATGGGTGTAGATTCGATTCCATTGAAAACATTCTTTCTCGATCCGGTACTTCAAACAATTGCTTTGGTTACAAGTATCCTTGAAAAAATAGGAAAAAAAAAATATTATTAGAAAATTGAAAAAGAATTGCGATTCACATTATTAATTCTAATGCATCGAATTTTAATTTGTCCGAATTTTTAACAAAGATAGAATTTTTATTTGTCCAAAATTACAAATGTCCGAACAAACAATCGACAGAAAGATTTTGGCGTAATTTTAAAAATTCATCAATTAGAAATTATCAGGAAAATTGTGATTCGTCAATTTTAAAAATTGTGCCGAAATCTTTCTGTTGATGTTTGTTCGGTCATTTGTAATTTCGGACAAATGGAAATTTGGCGTCTTAAAAATTCGTACAAAATTAAAATTCGGTACACGCAGAGAAATGATTTATTTGAACCAAATAAAATATATTTGAGTTAAATAAACGTTATATTTGTCTCAGAGCCTACTAACTTATTTATTTGGCGTAAATAAAAGTTTTATTTGTCAGAAATAAATTTTTCTTTGCCTAAAATAAATTTTTTATTTCAATGAAATAAAATATATTTGCAACAAATAAATGAGTTAGTAGGCTCGGAGACAAATATGCCATTTCTCTGTGTGTAAATTGAATTTTCTGTCATTTAAAAATTCGAACAAAATGAAAATTTGTCTAAAAAATAATAATTTCTAATAAAATTCTTTAAAATGAAAATTATAATGATTTTTATGAGATAATTATGCCGCCCCCCCCCCCTCCTATTATCAAATAAATATTTACTTGTGACAAATAATTTTTGTGCGAATTTTTATTTGAATTAAATAAAAATTGTATTTGAATCAATATTTTTTTTTTTTTTGGAAAAATATTTTTGAGAATTTCTCTAGTAGAGTAAAAGTAGAGAAGTAAACTAATAAATTATATATGAGTTGTTACTATATCTTCCGAATCCGGGTTTTCCACACTAAAAATTTAGCGAGCGAAATATAATCCTCTGCATTTTCTGGATGACACAAAGTTTATGTTATAGCGTGCGAATAAATTTTAAATCCCTACTGCTATATGAGGGTGTTCAATCTCAAGTGACGGAATTGAATTCGTGTGTGGTGTGGTTTCGTATTGTATTTTTAAAGAAAGAAAAATTACTAATTTTTTTTTCAAATACAATTTTTCGTCTCGTTTGTTTTATAAAAAGGAAAATTATTTTCATTTAAAATTTTAATTAATTCCTTCGGTAAAAAAAACTATTTTTTTGCTCGATAAAAAGAATTATTTACTTATAAAAAATGTAAATGGGTTAAAGGGTCAAAAAAAGAAAAAAAAAAATTATGTGATTGATTGGGAAAATGTTGTTGGATGCCTGATAATTTTAAACTCTTTGCTTTTGTACTCGTTTTACCCCCTTTAGTCACGTTCACGTAACAAGTATTATACAAAGTTTCGTGCAAAGCCAATAGTCGCGTGTCGGATGCGCCAAAGAAAACAAGTGTTACACGAACCTTTGATACCTATATATAATTAAGAAATTCTCAAGGTACAAGGGATCGACTTGCATATATTTACAATAAGTTAGTTTTTTCCTACAAAAAAAAAAAAAGAAAATTTACATTTTAACTCAAGAACAAATAAGTAAAACTATTTTTTTTTTTGCACTCAGTGTAATCCCTCATAACAAAAGGATATCCATATCAATGGTTGATATCCTAGAATGGTCCCAAGGATATCTTGGGATATCCATAGGATATCCAAACCGCCGGTCTGTGGGACATCAACAGGACATCCATAGGATATCCCTAAGACATCCACAAAATATCTATTGGATATTATATCTCAGGATATCCATGGGATATCCTCAGGATGTCCGTGGGATATTCTTAGGATATTCACGGGATATTTAATATCTCAACATATATTTTTAAAGGTTAAAATTGTTAAGCTAATATAATGAATAATAATATAATAAAAACAAAAATCTTATGAGCTTCTAATTTATTTTAAATGAAGATTTGAAACACATTTTTTTCAAAGTTTTTAAATAAACTTAATGTATAATTAATATTAATAATTATTCGTTATTTGCGGGGAAGAATTTATATTGTTAATTAGTTAATAATTTTTCAAATTAAACAACTTTCTCGAAAAACAAGTTGCATTTTATTTTATTTATAAAAAATTTAATTCACAGAATATTCTCAATCGTAGTTTCATAATGACTTTAAAAACAGTATCCTGAGAATATCTTCTTGACATCCAGAAGATATACTGAGAATATCCTGAAAATATCTGTGGGATATCCTGACGTTATCTATGGGATATCCAGAAGATATCCTGTGGATATCCTCAGATATCCATGGGATATCCAAACTGCCGATTTTTTGGATATCCTTAAGAGATCCTTTTGATATCCATAGGACATCCCTTGGATATCTGCGGAATATTATCAATATATCCCAAGATATCTTGTGTTATTAGGGATATTTTATTGGCGTTTATTTAAAATAATTTTATTACCACTTATATGGAATCATATATATTTTTTATAATTAATTAAAAAAAAATTTTTTTATTGCAATAAATGAAGCAAAAAAATAGTTTTGTTGAATTGAAAAAAAATTTCTTTCATTTGTACTTGAATATTATAGGAAATATGTAATATATTGAAAAGATATTGAATATATTAAAATATGAAATGAAAATTTATGTATGAAGAGAAAATGAAAGGGAGGATTTAGCATATATAATATATCTATATTTCTGAAAAAAAAACAGCATAAGAAATGAGACTGACATATATTTCGCGCTTTTTCTGAATTTATATTTAGACGCGAAGGAAATTACATTGTTCATTTGAAATAGCTCTTTTACGACGCTTATAAAACACTCTTTATTCTGAAAGTACTTATACATATATATAAGTTTTAGCGAAACCATGTATAAAGTAGTTTCAATAAACTAACGAAATGTCATTTCAAATATTCTATATAACACTTTATATTCCGACTATAATTATTCATTATTAAATACCAAATGGATTTCAATTTTTCTTCTATTTTCTATAAATATTAAAATAAAATTATTGTCACTGTTTCTTTTATTTGATGAAAAAATTTCGAATTTAACAAAATTGTTTTTTTATTTCAAAAATATTTTGAAAAAATATTATCAAATGGGTTTTTTTTTAAATATATTATATTATTTATAAAAATGGATTAATATATTTTAAAATTAAAATTTTTATTTTTATTTGAAAATTACAGTAATTTTTTTTTTTTTTTTATTAAGCGCTGTTATTGCTATATATTGTGCAAGTGAGCGCGATTATTTTCTGCTTCTCTTGGTCTGAGGGACCATTATTACACTTGAAATAGGTTCAATCGATGTACTATGTAATGTAACATGTTTCAAGTAGTCCATAGGGCAACTTCCAGTGGTGATTGTATCATGTGCTTTCACAGGCATGAAATTTATGCAAAGCATAATCCTGGTGACTTGAACTCATCAAACATAGTATTTTGACGAGATCGTCGGAAGTCCCTTTGGCTGACGTGGTTATATATATATATATACACACAATTTCAAATATCATCCATACAATCCAAATCAATAAATTTTGAATAATTCATACAATTGATAATACTATTATTCATGATCGATGGAAAATACAATAAAAAAAATATTTTAAAACATTTTTTTTATTAAAAATAATAATTTTAATTAGAAATTTTTTTATTTTTTAATTATTGTATTATTAAATTTTTTAAATTAACTTTTTTATTGAAAAAAAAGGTAATTAAAAATTATTTGTAATTAGAATTAATGAAGAAAGTTTTAAAAAAAAGAATTGAAATTATTTGTAATTAAAATTAAAATAATAATGAAAAATGAATATATAATTATTATATTAATTATTTTTTAGTTTTTGACAATTAAAATAAAGTAAATTTCCAATCAAGTCAATTAAATATTAAAATAACTTTCGCTGCAAATTAACATCGGTATATTACATATAGCAATAAATATAAATCGCGTATATGTAAAGAGAGAGAGAGAGAGAGAGAGAGAGAGAAGGTTTTATAATACATTCAATAATTAATTACAATAAGTGTTTGTCGCATTGCATCAACTATATTAAAGGTATAGCATTTCCTCCTTTATTTCAGTTGTCAATGTAATTTATGAAATCATGGTAAAAGGTAGAAATTAACTTTCTGCTAATGATAAAATCCACATCAATAAACTCTAATAATAATACTAATAATAATAATAATAATAGTAATTGAAATGATAGTTTTATGCGAAATTATAAAGAATTTATCAACTTTTTTTTCTAATCATTATAAACTTTCTTTCTTCAAAAATAATTAACTGTAGATTGATATTCATTCTTTTTTTTTCAATTTCTTTGTTTTTTTTTTTTTTTGACGAAAAAATTTGACGGTGGTAAAACGAAGTAAGTAACATTTTCATCGGCATTCAATTATTTTAACGTCAATAGAAATGTACATTTTGACGTAAAATCAACGAACTCGTTGGAAAAAAAATTTTGATTTTTAATTAACAAAATTCTAGTTCATTTGGATATGTAAGAATTTTTTCTTTAAAAAAAAAAAAATTATTTAGTAAAAAAAAAAAATTTTAATTGATAAATTTGTGACTAGTTAAATTATTATTATGGCCGGAGGAGGAATGAAAGCCAGAGCACCTAAAAGAAAATGTGACAAAAATGGTTGTCATAAAGCAAGATCACGAAATGGATTTATTATTTTCTTTATGAGATTATTGAAATGTATGCCCACTGCTTGTGTTACTAGAGTTGCTCAAATTGCTGGTCGAAAATGGCAAAAAATGCCAAAAGATGAAAAATGTAAATTTCTCAAATTAGCCCGTAAAGGATCACCGAAAAAATCAAATCGAAGACGAAGGAAAAATAATTCCTGTAGATCGGGCTGTAGATCCTCGTAATTTTTTTCAAGTAAGTTTTGTAAAAAAAAAAAATTTTAAGAAAATTAATTTTTTTTTATTTTGCCTTTTTTTAAAAATTCAATACATAAATTAATTAATTACTTTTTTATGAATAAAAAAAAAATTCGATTTTTACAATAATTAAAAAAATTTTTAGATTTTTTTTTCGTCTTGAATAAGGAATATTTTATTTTATTAGAATTCCAAGATTGTAGAAGTGAATTGTGTGAAACAAAAATTTGGACGATTAAAATTTAACGAAGAGAGTAATTGAAAAAAAAATCACTTTTTTTGAATATCATAACACAACATTCCAGTGTCGAAAAAATTGTTATTGTAAAAGTTCCAGTAGTATCATTTGTTCAAGGTGAAAGAAAAATTAAAATGTTTTTTTTATTAACATTTATCATTGCTATAAAAATTTAGTTTGCTTTTTTGAATAAATATTTCATTATGAAGAATTCATTTTCTTTTATTGAATATTTCAATTATCCAAAATTAAATAAATTTAATAAAATTTTATTTAAATTCCATTTATAACTGGTAAAAAAAAATTATTATTTTATAATTATGATAATTAAATAAATTTTTAATATAAAAACGTATTAAAATTGAATGAATTTATTTTTTTTTTTTATAATAATAATTCAATATTTGCGATAACATATTAGAATGGATAAATTGCGCTTATATATCCTTGGAGTTTGCACAGGATATTAAAGAAAATCATCTGATGAATCGATGGTGGAATCAAATGTCGTGGAATAGTTATTGTCGAGGGTGTGGAAGTGAAAAAGGTCACTTATCCTCTTCGCATCTGTAATTAAATCGTAATGAGATAAATCTTCTGTGCTACACGGAAATTTTATATTTATTTACATATATGACGATTCAAGCATCAAATTTTCACCACGAATCGTTTATAAACAAAATTTACTATTCTATCATTTTTTTTTTTTACGTTCACGTAAAATTTATATCCATAAAGTCTTTTACATGTAAAATTTCTATTACATCTATTAAAGATTTTTTTTGAAATATAATGATAATAATAATAATAATATAATTATTATAATAATAAATAGTAATAGTAAATAAAAAATTAGTTTTTAAATTAGGTTTTTTATTACTATTAATTTTATTATTATTTTATAATAATATTATTATAAAAATTATAATCAAAATTAAAAATTGTGCGATAAAATTATTATCACAATACAAAACTATTATTTTACTAATAAAAATGAAAGTTTTGAAAAATTTGAAAAGATAAAAAATATATTTTTGAAATACGAGGAAAAATCAGTAATTTGTAAAAAGGATTAAAAAACTTTGTGTTTAAGTTTGTCATTGAAAAAAAAAATACTTTCTAAAGCGGAAGAAAAATGTGAAAATTAAAAGTTTTATTTTGACTTTTTCACCTGTTATATATATGTTTATTTGTCAGATAAATGGTTATGGTAAATTAAGTCACATTACAAGAAACGAATAATTCATTTTACCACCAATCAATGTTGTAATCATATTTGCATGACATAACGATCATTGAATAAAACCATAATAAGTAATAAGCCATTTAGAAAAGTTCATCTTTAATTTTTTTCCCCTCTTTTTCAGTCGTGATTATTCGTTTTTTTTTTTTCTTTTTTGAAAATAAATATTTTCCCTTCGTTCAATATGAGTCTTCATTATTGTGAAGTATCACCAATAAACTTTTACTTTGGGACGCAGTAGAAAATGTCATTCCCTATCGATGCAGTCTCAATGATATATAAATTAAATTTTTTTTTTATCGATTATTGTTGGTGTTATTATCGTGGTTGTTAAAAAAAAAAAGTGCGGATATTCACTGTCTATTTAATATCGTTATTATGAGATGTTTCTTTTTCTCTCTCTCTTTTTGTTTTGTATTAGCAAAGGAATAAGGATCTGATATCGCGGGTCGAATATTGTCCGCAGGATCGTGATGACCTGATGACACTCGCTTCTCGTATTCTCTGATATTACAATGATTATTCGCGATGTCCCTTCTTGTTCCAATATATATATATATTTATACAAAGTTCAACATTGTCTCATCAATCTCATCAATATGTCCATTTGGTTAAAACAAAAAAAAAATTTTTTCCTTTTTCCCACAGAGAGAAATCGTCCAATTCCGACAATGTAATCCGTTAAATCCGGTCGTCATCTCTATTATAGACGAATATATACATAAATCATTGTAGGAAATAGTTGCATCCCAGAAGTAATTACTTAATCATTTGCATTTAAATTCTGAATCTTTCTAAATTGCTATTTTTTTAAACTTACTTTTTTATTTCGTTACATAAGGAATATACTTTATTTACAAAAAAAATATTTGGTTTAGGAAACCAATTATCAAATTCTAAAATTAAGAATAAATATACAAAAAAATAATTTGATAAATAATCTGAAAAATAATTTGAAAAATAATTTATTTATTAAAATAAACAATTTTTTTTTCAAATAATTAGTTACGATTATTATCAAATGAATACAATGAAAAAAATTTATTCGATTCAAAATAATCGGTTATTTGATTATTGTTAAATAAATATTTATTTGAACCAAATATTTATTGGATAATAATTAATTAACCGAATATTTGAATCAAAATAAATTTTATTTATTTATTTATTTTTTTTTTTGAGCAAATAATTTTAATTTGAAACTATTATTTATTTTTTTATTATTGCAACTGGATTAAAAAAATTGGAAAATATATTTTTCAACAAAAAGGAATCGATTTTTTTTTCATAAGAACACCAAATATTTGAAATATCATTTGTGTTTTTTTTTTTTTTTTGGGTTTAGTACCGCCTCGAGCATATCCGCATCATCCATCTCCCATTTATTCCAACTGTATAACTCTCCAACTACCATAGCATTTTACCAAAAAAAAAGTCCATTTTTCTTGATTCACAAAAAATACTATTTTTATGATTAAGTAAAGTTTACTTTCAAATTTGTTTATTATCCAAAAATTCAGAAATATTTCAAATTTTTGTCCCACAATTCTTTGTTATTTATTTAATTATTTATTAGAAAATCAGTTATATAATTTTAGTATTAAATTAATAATTTTGTTTTTGTTTATTAATTTTTGTATTTTATTTGGAATTTAAATTTTCTTTGAAAATGCTTTTGCTCTTGAGGTTAATAAAATTCGTTTTTGCCCACACGAAGAAAATGTGTGTAAAATGGGGTATTTGTTTTGTTTTGTTTTTTTTTTTTTTTTTTGAATTTTTAAGCGGAACTATATATATACAATTTTATACTTGAGAGTCGCGAGCTCCTCGCTCATTGTCACAAACATTTTGCGACCTCTTTTTCTTTGCGCGCTTTCGCGTTCCGAAATGTCAGTGTTACTTCCTTAAATGCAAATTATCTTTCAACTAGAATTTTTGTCATGTAAACTTTAACATTCAAAAAGTATGTGTGTGTTTGTGTGTCTCTTCTCTCTCAATGAATCATGCGGCTAGAGATATATTTATTGCAGATGTAACTTCTTCCCGCCAAAAAATATTTTAATAAAGAAAACATAAATCAAATGGCAAATGAAACTAGAAAAAAAAGCAAGAGAATTATTATTAACATTTTTTAGGGGCACTTTATTATCAGATAAAAATTATTTGTTAGAATTTTTATTTTCAACAATTTTATTCAGTTATAATTATTTTTTAGACGAATTTTTATTTTTCGAATTAATATTTTTAAAGAAATTTTTACTTAACAGAATGTTTAGGCATTGAATTTTTATTTTAATAAAATTTTTATTCCATTTTTTATTTTGCAAATTTTTTTATTTCACAAAATTTTTCTTTATTCATATAACAAATAATTTTGATATGATTTTAAATTATATTTGATAGAAGTCTTTAAAATGAAAATTAAATGATTTTTTATGGGATTTAAAAAAAAAAATCTGATAAAATGTAGGAAAATTTACATGTAAATATCATATTTTATGTTGAAGATAAATTTAATTTTAAAATCGTCGTTTAATTTCTTTCGTTTTGAAAAGTGGAGATAAATAATCGATTTATGATGGAATTAAATAAGGGATACGAGTTTTTGTTTAGGAAAAAAAAAAATTTCAAAGCCTGAAATGCCAAGTTGAATCGTCAATAATGGAGAATAGTCATTGGATGTCATTTGCGGGTGTTCGATTAATGTAACCAAGAAAGTCTTGTAGAATTTGATGAAAATAAAAAAAAAAAAATAAAAAAAAGAAAAGAACCTATCGTTTACCATTAGCGGAGTCGTTAACAGTCAGCGTGACTCACGGCACGTCACAAATTACGAGACTTCTTCGAACGCGAACCCGGTGCTTCAGATGTATATTCGAGACTTGGTTAAACCAAAACGTATTTCAACAGAGAACGTTTATATTGTAATTACAGGAAGAGACACGCAAGAAGAGAGTGCTATTTCGATGGATTACAGCAAAAGTATAAACGAGATATAGGGGGGGGGGCGAATAACATTTTGGAACAACATTTTCGTTCCAATGTGTGTAATTTTCATTAGAAAAAAAAAACCATAAAGCCATTTTTATATAGTGGCAATAAAATTTCAATTTGATCGGAACTATTCATTATGGATGATTTAATTTTTTTTTTTCACGAGATTAGCTCTGTAATTTAAGAAGTTGTGCAAATATGTTTATGCGGGAAAGTAGGAAATGAAATGTGGACATTTTAATTTGGAATGTTTGGATTATTTGTTTATATAAATGTCAAGTTTTTATTTTTTTAACGATAACTTCAATTGATTGAGAATAATTAAAATTGTTTCTTTCAGAGAAAAGCAGAAATTAAATTTTTTTTTCTTTTTTTGACAAGTGAGGATAAATTGAATTTTTGAATTGGTATAAAATTAATGACAAATCGAATTGAAATGTGATACTTGACATAAATTTTACATATATATATATATATACGAAATCGATTAACATATACGTGAAATATTTGTCGAGAATCTTTAAATCAGATGTGCATACTTTCTCACCTTATGTGAAGTCTGTCGAATGAACAATACATTACGTATATCACATACTCACGAGATAGTATCAATGATTGCGGACGACTTTCGTTTTTAGGGTATAAGGAATACTTATTAAAAGTTCACGTTTATTTACGATCCTCTAAATTTACCAACGTCTTTCGAAAATTTTTCTTCTCTTTATTTTTTAGAAATCACAGAAAATTATAAGTATTAAAATAAGCTACAACGCTTATTATTTTAATCCAATTGCTTATTTTAATACCAAAATGGATTAAAATAAGCAAAATTGGATTAAAATAATAAGCGTTGCAGCTGATTTTAATGCCTTTTAATTTTCTGTGAAATCAAAAATTTCAAAATTAATATTTTTTTCATATTCAATTGAGAAAGAATTTTTTTTGCAAATAAAATTTACACTACTTTCAAAAGA